AATGGCAGGCAAAGGTTTGAATGTTAAGCTTTCCCTGATGGTACTTAGGAAGGAGTAGAAATGAATGCCTTCTGGAAATGGTGTCTGTGGCAGATACCTAAGCATCCTGATTGTTAAATGAATTAATCTGATTGTTAAATTAATTCCTACCCCTCATGCTTTGGGTGTTGTAGTTCAGTGGAGCCCAGTCTCGCAGATCTGGCTGTCCCTCCTCTCCTGGATTTTCCAGATGGGATGGCAGATCTGGGCTGCTGAACATCCCACTTGGCACACCTGAGAGTTTGTGCTGGCCTTGTAGGGGTCTCTGGGCTTAGGAAAGGAACAATGAACACACCTCCAAGCAAAAGCTGTCTGCTGACAAATTCACAGCATAACCAGATTCCTAATAGGTTTCTGTCATTAAAAATGTTTAATCTTTTGAATGTGGAAATTATTTTCTGTATGTAAATAAAACCCCAAGTATGTGTTAGGTGGGATGTGTATATTTATTAATCAACCCTGTCTAGGGTAAAAAAAATACAAAAACAAAAAAAACATTTATTTTGCAGCAGGGCTCTTGTCTCCTCTTTGGGAGATGTAGTTCCTTTCTGAGCATCAGAGTTCCCAGTGGCTTGCAGTGCACTCAGCAGGGAGCTGTCTCAGGGATTAGACCCTTTCTGAGAAGGGAGAACTTTAATATTTTATCTGATCCTGTTGGTTTTACCACTTCACTCATTAGCTTGGCAAACTTACCTTGATTATGTGGGAAGTGCTAAATATATCAGCTACACAAGGAGCTACAGAAACTTCCCCCAAAGCCTCCTGTGCTGGTAATTCTTGTTTCTTTTGTGATTCAGGGGCAGTGTGAGCTGAATGAATGTGAGCAGCTAAAGAGAATCAGGCAGTGCCCAATTGAGTGTCAGCAGTGCCTGGCTGTACATGACCCACAGGAAGGTGGAGCCTGGATCCTGCACAGTGCTGGGACTGTCCCCAGGCAGGGACAGTCAGAGCAGACCCTGGGACACAGCAGCTACAGGAGCTTCAGGATTAAAATGTGGTGTTAACCCAGCACAGCTGAAACAAACAGTTAATGAGCACAGCAGAGATCTCTAGTGGAGATTATTCCTGATTGCACGAGGACTGTGCTCAGATGCTGGAGTTGTTCTGAGATTATTATAAGCATGGATATAGGGGGGTTCAGTGAGCACAAGTTGGGTTTTGAGGTTTCTCATTACATTTTGCACTGAAAAAAATAAACTGGGTTGACACGGGGTGTGAGGAAAGCTGCTGCTGCGGGTAGGAAGAATAGGAGGCAAAGGGTAGGACTTAGTAATTACCTTTCAGGTTGGAAAAATGAGCTATGGGAGATGAGGCTAGAAGTGGTTTTAGTCAGTGCCTTTGTCTGTGACCTGGAAAAGGTAATGAACAGTGAAGTCTCCAGTTTTGTTGGTGATACTACCTCTTTCCAGCAGTCAAATTGTGCTGATGGTGGGAAAATCTCACTGCTAGAAGGATTCCACTAAATGAGGCAGGCAGGTATAAAGTCAGGATAATCCCTGTGTAAGCAAGTGTAAAGTAATGAATCTAGGGGGGAAAACCCCAAAAACTAAACCATGGCAGCCTTGTGTTCAGCTGTGTGCTGTGGTGCTCCCAGGATCTGCCTTGAGTCTTCCCCTTGAAATTCTTTGAGGTGTTTGGAGGTGCCAGCAAAATGTAAGTCATCAGGGAGAGGATGGAAAATTACATACTTTTTGTCTGCAAACAGTGGTAATACCCCCATATCTTGAATTGACTACAGTCTTTCACACATGAAGAGCAGGGGGTTGTAGTGGAGGTGACAGGGAAGATGAAGGGGTGTAGTGGCTGTTCTGTGAGGGGAGATTGGAATAGTTATGCCTGTTCCAGTTTGAAGAGAAGGCTGGGGGAGGAAAACTGACCAAGATCTACTAAATCTTGAAACTTAAGCTGAATGTGCAGCAGTTCTTTGAATTCTGAAAACCCAGAATTAGTGATCATGAGAGGAAGCAAAGGGGTCTGTTGAAAATAGGTGAGGTTTATATTCACTCCCAATATCAAGGGCTGCTTGGTGCTGATTTGGGCCTTTGGCTCAGAACTGGTCATGCTAATCTGTAAAAAGGTGAGATGCTGAAGTACTTGCTGTACTCAGCTGTCAACAATGCAGATACATTAGTTGTTTCCTCCAGTATCTAAAGTGCTTCCTGTGAAGAATTCCTTCTGTGCCCTGTCTTCACTTGTGGTTTGCTCAGAAGGATTTAAAATAAAATATCATGTGCTCTCCAGGGAGTGTACAATCAGAGCCTCCCCATGCATGGCTGTTCCCTGGTGTGTCTTGTGTGAAGCCTCAGAAGTGTGTCAGATCCTTTTCCCTCCAGTTAGGAAATTGGGGATGCAGTTTGAGCTCTTGCTGGTGCTGCTGTGGCTCCCAGCACCTGCTCAGAGTGACAATGCCACAGTCACAATGCTGACTGATTATACGTACAAGACTTAAGCTTAAGCTGCTTGTCATTAAAAAAAAATGAATTGCTGGTGTCTCTTAATAGCAGCTGGCTGAATGTAGCTCTGCCTGAAGGCCTGAGACTGAGCTGTAAGGCCTCAGATTTGATCTGAGAAACACTTCTGAGGGCTGAGTCTGCCCTGCCAGTGGGTGACAGCATTGGAGTGTGTCTGTACCCCTGGACAAAACTGACAGGAGCTGAGCTTCCGACTGAGCCAGCCAAACATCTGGCTCTCATCATCCACATCAAACACTTTAAAAGCTTCTTTTCTTCTAGAAAACACTGAGGCTGATGTAGAAGCTGCCCCAGGTCAGAGTGAAGAAAAGTCCCTGCCTGCTGCACCTGTTCCTAGCCCAGTAGCACCAGCACCTGCACCCTCCAGGAGAAATCCACCCGGTGGCAAGTCCAGCCTAGTGCTCGGTTAAACCTTTCCTTTCCTGACTGTTTTGAACTCGTGTCTGTTTTCTTTCCCCCCATGCTTGTGAACTGCACAACTTGAGCCTGACTGTACATCTCAAATTTCGTTCATTAAAAAGAAGCACTTTATGTACTCCATCTTTTTTTGAAATTAAGGGTTTTTTTCCACTTCTGTCCTGTGTTTACCCCAGATCTGCTGCAAGTGACATGAGTGTTTTCTAGTGATAGACTTGAGGGAAAGCTTTATGAAGTATTGTAATGTAATTCAAAGGAGAGTAGCTTGGTTCTAAGTGTGCTTAGAGGGTTTTTGTACTGAGATTTTTTTTTTTAGAACCCCTTAGCTTTACAAAGGGTCTAGAATCCTGGTTAACCACGCCAGCAAACAATCAGCAAGAGCAGTCCCTTCCTCCACATGTGGGATTTAGCTATCTAAAAGGCTTCATTGACTGCATGTGGTAAATGCCTTGAGCCCTGCTGTGCCATATCAATCATTAAGTGGTTAATGTACACCATGCTGCCTTTAAAAACAAAATAAATCTTGATACTGGACTCCTATGACACAGGGTCTGTGCCAAATATAGGGCTGATGACCAGAGCCACCTGGCCTAGTGCTGGGAAGGGGCTGATTCAGACTTTATTCAGTAAATGTGGAGTGGATCATATAAATAAGAATTACAGGGCATTTTTTTTTTTACAACTGACTCAATGCTGTGCATGATCATGCTGGTGCTTGACCATGAGGTGAAAATCTCATCCTTTAAAGTGTGTGTTGTAATTTCACAAAGCTGGATTGTTGCTTAAAAGTAAATAATATAGAAATTTTGAATCAGTGTTTCCTGTGTGGGTTTTATTTCACGGGTTTGGTTTTGGTTTCTTCTCAGTTGTCCTTGTCTCAGCCAATCTTCCCTGCTCTAACAGAGTTGTTACACCTGCCTTGAGGTCACCACCATGTGCCAGCTTCCCCTGAAGAGACAATCTGACTTAACTCTTCATTTTTGGCTTCTCGATCAGAGAACTGTGGAATATGGCTTGATAAATATTACAGTTTATCCAACACACTTTTTTTTGCAAGAAAACTGAGAAAAGTTTATTTTCCTCATTAAAAAGAAAAAAAAACAGGACCCTAAAAAGGGAGAGGGTGGAATTGAGACCAAACCATGATGTTGTCTGCTGTTCTGGAAGGGCTCTGTTGCCCAGTAAGCTACAGCAGAGGATCTCAGTGGAGCAGCTCTGTGTGCTGGTGCCTTTTCCAGCCTTCTCCAGGAAGAACTGGTGCCTGAAAACACCCTGGCTTCCCAGATCACTGCTGGAGAAGCGCTGCCCTGGGGTGCTGGATTTGCTCTGACATGTTCCTCCCGTCCTCCATCCAGGGGGGTTCCCTATAGCTGATGTGCACCGTGCCCTGCACTGGCTGCATAGAGAGCATGGGGATAACCCATAAATTAATGTTTCCTTTGCAAGCCTCATGCCCAGGGAGCTTGTTAATGCTCCTTGATGGCTGCTGAGGCTCCTCTGTGCTTCTTTCTCCTCGGGGCAGGGATCTGGCAGCTGCAGCCTGGCCACTGCGGGGTCCCGAGGGGTGGCAGGGGGGCTTTTGTGGGCTTTTGCTCTATTCCTGCTGGAGCCCAGCCCTGTTCCTATTGTAAATGCAGGCAAACCCAGTGGGAAGAAATGATGGCCAACTCCAGTTCGGAAGGCTGAATGATTTCTTTATTATAACTATGCTATAATACATTAATATGCTATATAAAGGAAGATACTAAAACTGCAAACCTACTTTCTCTAACTGCCATATTTAACTCACAACTTGTGACTCTCTCAAGAGTCCAGCCCCAGGTGGGTTGGATTGGCCATCAGGCTCAAACAATCCTCACCAGAATCCAACCAAGCAATCACGCCAGGTAAACAATTCTCCAAACGCATTCCACATGAGAAAAACAAGGAGCAGAAATATAAATTGTTCTCTCTTTCTTTCTCTTTGTGCTCCTCTATGAAAAATCCTGAGAGAGAAATGTGCTTACCACACATTCCCAGGCGGGGCTGGCTTGGAGGCGCTCCGCCCCGCCCTCTCATGCATATTCATAAATGATGAATATTCATGAGCGCTCCGCGTGCGCCGGAGCCGGCGGCGCTGCGGCCGCGTGTGCGGGAGCGGCGAGCCGGGATGGGGATGGGGATGGGGATGGGGATGGGGATGGGGATGGGCAGCGCCGCTGCCGGTGCTGCTGGCCATGGACGGGGTCCTGGCCGAGTTCGAGGGCGCGGTGCTGCGGGAATTCCGCGCCCGCTTCCCGGCGGAGCCGCGCCTGGAGCTGGCGGAGCGCCGCGGCTCCGCGGTGCGGGAGCAGTACCGCAGCCTGCGGGAGGAGCTGGCGGTGAGTGCGGCCGCGGGGCCAACACCCTCCCCACCCCGCCGGGAAACGCCCCGGGCTGTGCGCAGCTCAGCGCGGGGACAGTGTTTCAGTGGTTTTTTTTTTGTTTTTTTTTTTTTTTTTTTTTTTTTTTTTTTTTTTTTTTTTTTTTTTTTTTTTTTTTTTTTTTTTTTTTTGTCCATGCATACCTAGATGGGATTTGTTTAATATTCAAACAATAAGTCATGTTTGTTTATGTAAGATAATCAAATTCATGCCTACTGACTGTGTTTACACGTTTCTGCTTCCAGGAATTTTTGGCCATCAATAGTCATCGATCAGAACTCTGGCAGTTTGGAGCCTGTGGAAGTGCTGACTGGATTCATATTCCTGTCTATCGGCCAGTGGCAGGAGCCTGTACTTCTCTGTAGGACAGGAGGGAAATGAAATTGTCATTTCTTAGCAGTAAAAAACCCCTAGGCTCAGTACATGATCTTAAAATAAGCAATAAATTTCTAGGGAAAGTGTTCAGCACAGCCCAGATCAGCATCTGTTCCATTTCCTTAGAGTCCTCAACTGTCCTGTGGTGACCAGAAGGAAGGGTGAAGTCTGCATTTACACTATTTGTAATTTTGTCTTGCAGACCTTTTTGTTACTCATTCAGCCATTAGCAATCATTAAAAAGGGCAGCATTTTGCATGAACAGAGGGTGTCCCACCAGCTTTCTCCTGCTATTCCTGATCTCTTACCTGCTGTGCACTTGGCTTGTCAGGGCATGCAGAGGGAATATGGATACAGGATTTCATTCTGTACAAACTCAGATAAAACATATATAGTTCTTGTCCTTCTGTGGAGCCATGTGAGCACGTGCAGAGTGCTCAGGGAACATTGAGTAAGTTATTGTTCTGTTGCAAGGCAAGAGCAAGAACATGAGTAGGTAAAGAAGAGGGTTCAGTGAATGGTTTGATGGCAGACTTCTCACCCACACATCCCTCTGTAAAGGGCTGGCTGTCCTGGAAGAAGACACTGATTATCAATCAGTATACATGCATGAAACACAAAATTAGAAATACTGTGAATCCAGACTTCACGCTTCCTTATGGTCACCACAGGACAGTCGAGTGCCTTACAGGACTCTGCAAGGAAACTGCTGATCCAGGCTGTGCTGAACACTTTCCCTGAGAAGTTAATTGTTCATTTTAAGATCCTGTACTGGGCCTGGGAGTTTTACTGCTAAGAAGTGACAATTCACATTAATTTCACTCCTGTTCCATAGTGAGGGAAAGGCTTCTGCATCAGAGTAAAGGGCAGGAGTGCTGGCTCCAGTCAGCATTTCCACAGGCTCCAACTGCCAGAGTTCAGATCAATGACTGTTGATGGTCAAAAGTTCCTGGAAGCAGAAACCTGTAAATATAGTCAGTAGACATAAATTTGGCTATTACATTGCATAAACAAACAAGATTTTTTGTTTAAATGAGTATTCCTTAAACAAATACTGGGTGAAAAAAAAAAAAGCTGCAGGTAATTCAAGGGGTCATGACTTTTTTTAATTTTCTTTTTTGGAAGGCCTACAATCTGATCTATGAGAAAAATTGCCCTTTGTTCTATTTCTGGAATTCTCGTTCCCTAATTTGGTTCATGCTCATCCTGTTCCTCCCCAGACCTTAGGTGTGGCAATGAAATAACCAGATAACTGGTTTGGATCCCAGCACACCAGCAGTGGCAGAAAGCTCTTATCTTGCTGTTCTAGCATGACTTCCTAAGGAAATAAGCTATGGAGCTGTGCTGTGTGTCTGTCTCCTTTGGTAGTCTCTGGAGCTTTGGGCTGGTTTAGATATGTTTGGCAGGACAATAAAATTATAAAGATCTGAGGCTCCTTTGGGTTTTATGTAAATGCCATCCATTAGTTTAAAAACAGAGTCCTTGTTTGTTCTGCTATGGCTCTATAGAGTGTCTGTGGGACAGGAGAATCCCTATGGAAAGTCTCTCCCTGGCTCCAGCTGCAGGGAAAGTTTTGGCAGGAACCAGCAGCCCAGACAGAGCAGTTTGTGTGTCCATGCAGGGAAACTGAGCCCACAGTTTGCTGTAAGGAGGGGACCAGCTGGACACTCTTTGTGACAAGTGTCAGCTGAGTCTGTCCATGAACTTCCAGGCTGTGGGATATTCTCGTGGCAGGGCCTGGGAAATGCTGTGGGGATGATTCATGCATCTCCTCTTCCCGAGTGGTGTTCACACTTAGTTGGTGCTGAGCAGCTGCCCCTTGAAACTTTAGCCATTACTTTGGTTTTGTTTCTGTTTTGATTGCAAGTTGATCATTAATTTCACACTGTAAATCCATTTTATTTAGAAGGACTTCTAATCAATTTTATTTTGTTGAAGATTTTTTCACTACACTTGCCTACCTGCCCTCCTGTGTGTGTGGCCATTTGGTTGGTGGGGATTTATCCCTGTTTCCTGGCCCCAGGCAGTTTCAAGAAAAGGATTCAACATCCCCACCAGTGATAAAAATTTTCTAGAATTACTTTGACGTCCTGCAAATGCTAAAGCATAGGGACAGATGTAGTGCCTCCAGTTTTGTATCCAAATTGTTATCTTACTAACGGAAGTTAAAAGGAAACATTCAGCATTGGTGGCACGAACATGTGGAAAGAAAATGGTTTTACTTTCTTTTTCTAGTCACTTTTTTATGAGAGGAAATGGCTTCTGGTTCCAAGAGTCATCAAATCAAATTTCTTTCTCCAACAAAGCCAGACTTTTTTGTGATGTGGTGGAAACTTGCCAGTTTCTGGTGTCTTGCTGTAGGATAAAAAAGCTTTCAGACACGAGCCCCAAGTCTGTAATTCAATCTCCTTGGGAAGAGCTCCAGGGAATTGTTGCTGGGATCAGGGAGGCTTTGCATGGAAACAGATCTGATTGCCATGTCTGAACCTAGACAGGCTCCTTCACCTCTTCTGATCTGCGTGTGAAATCAGGCAGTGCTTCCAACTTTCTGCCTGTTGATTTATGAGTATTTGTAGGTGGTGATAACTGAGTGAGCTTCAGGATCTGGGAGTCTGGTTCAATGCTGACTCTTTGACACTGCTGCTTAATTGAAATGGGTTTTTGGTGGTGTTCCACTGGTGTGTACTGGTGGTGTAAAGCAAGCAGACCTTCAGCTGGAGTCTAAAGAACTGGACTCTTCTAAGCAAAGGCTGCAGCCTGCCTTTGAAGAATACTAAAGAAGAATTAAGTTTTCCAAACTGTTCAGTGGCATGGGAATGTATGACCTTGATGCTTGTGGAAAAATGCTGCTTCGACACCTCTGAAGTTCACTATGTGACCCCAAGGAAATTAAGATTTGTGTGCCTCACTCAGGGTAAAGAGATAGTGGAAGCTTAACCTCTCTGTCTGAAGCTGAAACTTAGGCCTGGAAGGGGACTCAGCCCTCGGTGTTCCTGTGGATCCTTTGCCATGTTGGGATGTGGGAAGGAAGGGGAAAACCCATCAGCTGTGACTTATTGTGAAACAATCATTTAACACAGGCCACTGAATAGTCACCAGGGAGCAATTCTTAAAATTAACTAACCAGAGCTGGATTCAAACCAGTAAATTTCCTAATAATAGAAGACATGAAAATGTCTTACCAGTAAATTAAGAAGAAAAAGGACTGGAAGGACAGTCCTATGTGAAAATTGCCCTGAAAATTTTTCCTTTCAGAGATTAAAGATGCCATGTATTGTATCATATTAAATACCTTTTTGTCCCATTTTTGGCTGCATTAACCTGGGATAACATTGCTCCTCCAGAAATCTTGTTTCTTTCCTATTTACACTCACTTAAAAATGATTCTACCTTTTGAGCTAACCTCCTTCACTACTTGCTTATCATTAATTTCCTCTCTGGTTGGTGTGGCATCCCATGTGCCTGTATGGCAGGTGGGTTTGCATAGGTGCAGACACAAAAGGGATAAAGCCCTTATCTCAGAGCTCAGCCCAGTGCTGAGCCAGGTGAGGGGAGCAGTGTCCCACAGCACCCTCAAACCCAGCCCAGATGGGGTTCCCAGGGTCACAGATCACCTCTCCCAGAGCCAAATGTTCCTGGGGAAGCACAGGGATCACCTCTGAACTTCCTGCTGAAGTCTCAGACTCTTTGGAGCAGACTTTGCACCAGCCCATGACCTCAGAGGAACAACTCCATCCAGGCTGGAGCCAAGACTGCCTGCTCCTTCAACAATATTTGAAGCGAGTGGTTGAAAATCAAAAAGCAGCAAAGACATGGAGCTTTCCCAGAACTCTCATCCTCATCCTTCCCTCTTGCTGAAGGGATTCCCCCCAGGTGTGGCTGTGCTGGCCTGGCCATTGCACAGTCACCTCTGTGCCCTGTTTGCTCTGAAGGAAAGGAGGCTGATGGGCAGTGCCCACCCATCCCTAGTGAATTCCTGAGCCCTCAGCTCATCTCAGCCAGACGTGACAGAGGAGGAGAAGCCTCCAGTTTGTTCCTTTGGTTTTCACCAGAGTCAGCTGGAAGGCACCTGCTGGGAAGGGGTGGGGTGGGAGCTCTGCCTCCCTCAGCCCCCCCAGACACTCCAGTGGGTGAGGGCTGGTTGTGGGAGCAAAGCCAGGCCAGGGGCAGCTCTGCCTCCTCATGAGCCACCAGAAAGTGACTTCTCCTTGTGTGCCAAGCTGGACCTTTCCCAGAGCCCAAAGGTGAGAAATTTTATCACTCACTCCTGGGGGGAAGCACCAGGCTGTTACACAGGAGTGACTGGAGAGTGCTGCGACAGAGCCACTGCTCATTGTCCTCTGTCTCCTGCAGGCCAAGGTAGCCAGTGTCTATGAGTCACCTGGCTTCTTCCTAGACTTGGATCCAATCCCAGGAGCCCTGGAAGCTGTGCAGGAGATGCTTCACATGAAGGAGTAAGGACACTTTGCATCCTGCAGCCCTTTTCCAGGATCTGACACGCTTTCCCCTGACTGCTGACAAAGGCTGTTTCTTTTCAGTACTGAAGTCTTCATTTGCACAAGCCCTCTCCGGAAATACGAGCACTGCATTGTGGAAAAGGTGGGAGAGAATTGTTGAATTGTTTTTATTGGGTTTAGTGCTGCTTTTGCAAGGCCCTGGTGTTTCATACTACCCAGGCAGGAGCTGCTCCTTTGTGAAGACAGTAGCTGCTCCTTTGTAAAGACAGTAGCTGCTCTGTAAGATTGATCCCAGGGCCTGTGGGGTCTGATCTGGCTAGCTCTGGAGCCCCGGTCCCTCTCAATCTCACAAGGAGAAAAGTAAAAGCCAGGAGGTGCTTTTTCCTCTCTGGATGATAGTCCCACTTTATTGTGGAACCAGTCCAGGGAAGTCCAAAGGAGGCAAAGAGAAGAAAGGAGGTCAAGGGTGTTGCCACAGGAGATTTTAAACCCAGCTGGGAGGCAGAGGCGAGTGACCACAGCTGATGGGGTACAAGTGATGGGAGGGGCAAGGGGAGGAAGTTATCCAGGCTGAGACCACCACACTATCTGAGGGCTAGATTCCCACACACAGAGCAGTAACTCAGGACAGGGAATCTCCAAGTGCCACATAGTGCCAGAATTACTGTGGAGCACGTGAGCCCTGCACTCTTGGAGCTGGACTGGCACCAGCTGTGTCAGCAGGTGACAGCAAAGGAACTGTTGTAGTGTTACTCACAGGTATGTAGTGTTACATACCCAGGGGATTCTACCCTGGAGAACCAACAACAAAACCTACTTCAGTCTAAATCTGGAGCCTGAGGTGTCCCAAAAGAGTTGTGTTGAGGAGGCTGTAGAGTTGGAATAAATCCTTTTTGCCTGTGGTACAAGAATGGAAGTGGAGGACTTTGATCACTGAAATTACTTAGATGGGTACAACCCACGTGCTCTGGGCAAGCAGAAAGTGCTTCTCACACTCAACAGCTGAGCCACAGCCAGGGCAATGCTGAGTGAAGGTTGTCACACAAACAGGTTTTATCAGCATCCTGGGCCGCACCAGTCTCCATGTGGGGATTCCTAGACAGCCATGAAGGTTTATAGAGGAAAGAAATTGCACTACTAGGGCTGGTCTGACAGGAGCGATGTGCAAACGGAGAGCACAGCAGGATTTTCTCCTATTCCTTGTCTCTACAGTTCTCTGCAGGGTAGAGAAACACTTGGGACCGGAGTTTGTGGAGCGGATTATTCTGACCCGAGACAAGACCGTGGTGGCTGCTGACCTGCTGTTTGATGACAAGGACACCATCCAAGGTTTGAACAGCATTTCCATGGCTGGCTGCTGGCTGGGGAGCCACCCCACGGCTGATTCCAGCTTTTCCCCCCTTCCCACAGGCGCGGAGCCAAACCCGAGCTGGGAGCACATCCTGTTCACCTGCTGCCACGACAGGCACGTCCAGCTGCCGGCCTGGCGCCGGCGCCTGCGCTCCTGGGCCGACGACTGGAAGGCCATCCTAGAAAGCAAGCGCAGGCAGTAGGCCGGGAAGGGGATGCTGTGCTCTTCCCACTGCCAGGAAACAACCAGCCCAGCCCCTGCCATGCCCAGGAGGCTCTGTCACTGCAGGGATCAGCCACAGAAACGAGCTGCTCCTGTCAGACAGTGCTCTGCGTTTCTGGAAGATTGCTCTGCACTGTTCATCTCCTTAGCGTTTTGGATGTTTGCTGTTGGAGAAGAGAAACTATAAACTACAAGCAGCTGTGGTTGGATTTTTGTGTGTGTTTAACCTCATTCCTGTTTGGTTTGTGCTGTCTGGGGCCAGAGGGGAGAGAAGAGGAAGAAGGCTCTCAAATGTAAGCAAATCCAGTGTGGGTGTCTGTCAGGAAGCACTGAGCTCAAACCTTTTAAATTTTATGTATTTAGCCACCCTGGTTATGGGGTTTCCTCTTGCCTCATGGCTGATAATGAAAAGAGACTAGGCTGGCTTCGATTTTTTGGCCCTTGTGCTTGAGTAAGAGCAGGCAAAGGCTGCAAGTGCTGGAGAAAAATATTCATTAGCTCACACAGAAATGATTACACAGCATTTAAGTTAATGTTTTATTAACAGAAGCTTTTACAAGAGAGCTGTTCTCATGAGCCAGGCTGTCATGAGCCCCTTTTTTTTTTACTTCACCTTTCTCATCAGTGGTAATAAAGACAAACTTAGCACTTCTTCATTTATAGGGCAGCTACAGCCTGCCTACCCTATGTAATGATTCCCTAGCTGGCTGCCTGTGCCACAATTAGAGGATGGCATAACTAGTGCCACAGGGATGGAGAGATTGTGAACGGGGCAGGGAAACTCCTTTCTCTGAAGGAAGAATACCTTTCTGTGACATTTCAGTGACTTGACACTTAGCGTCACTTGTCACAGACACTTAAGGGGAGAGGTGTAGCACAACCAGCCAGGAACCGGAGTGGATATAATTCTGCTCAATAACCTGAGCAGAACACCCCTCTTTACTGGGAAGTGTTATTTGTGCAAACCGTGTGCTGAGCTGCAGTTGGCAAAGCACTTTCCAATGTGCAGCTATGACCTGCTTTATTTTAAATATTTGCAGGCTTAGCTGAACGCTTGGCCCAGCTGCTGTGTTAGTGCTGTTCCATCCTGTTTGTTAACTAAACACCAGCACTGGTGGCACCAACTCCTCTCTTTAATGCTGCTCTTGACCTGCTGAGCAGAAAGGGAGAACAACAGGAGGTTCCCCTCTCCACAGCCCTGCTCAGTCCTTGGGCAGAGGAATGCCCACTGCCGTGTGCTTGCTGAGGTTCCTGGCCTCCTCCACCTGTGGAGGGCTGCAGTAATCCTGCAGGAAGATGGATGCCAGGTTACTGAGGCGCGTGTTGGCCGAGAGCGAGAAGCGGAGCATGCATTCCACCACGGGCAGCGCCGTGGTCTGCGCGCGCGACCGCGGCGTCGTCAGGAACATCAGCGTGGTCACGGCTGACACCACGGTCTCCTCGTTGGAGCTGGACAGGCAGTTGATGATGGGCTCCACCCCGTTGGCCTCCAGGATGTACTCTTTGTTTGTTTTATCCAAGCACAGGTTGCAAAGGCCACCTGGAACGGCAAGAGGAAAGTGTCCGAGGTGACGCAATTCACAGCTCATCCTATTTCTATCATCCAGATCTTCTGGATGGATGGAAAATTCTTAACGATTCCCTAGGCTGTGCGTTTTTGATTGTTTCCAGCGATTTTCCACCAGCACGCTCCGGCTGCCTGTCATTAGAGGGCACTGTTACTGCTGCACATAACTGCTCCCACACAATGATTCCAGGAACGCTCACTCATCCCTAAGGGAAGACACAAGCCAGCAGTTTTATTGCAGGTGCTATAGAAAGCCAGAGAATGGAGGTAACAGAGTTAGCAGTCAAGAAACACAGAATGTTTGAAACTTGAAACTTTTGAGATGCAGACACAAACCTTAAAAATCAAATCCATTTAGTATCATCTCACAGAACCACTCACAGCATCTGGCCTTTTAGCTTATGTTCAGACAATGAAAAATCGTGGTAAGGTAGTTCCTCAAAAGATTTATTAAAATTGTCAAGTAAGTATTCTAGAAGACCAGTTGCCAATATCAGAATGGTTACATGGATCCGTACAGTGTACCTGGCAAAATATATGTATTAACAACTGCTTCTCTACAGGACAGATTTCAGTACAAAGTTAATCAGGTAGTGTTTAGGGAAAAGAAACCAACAAAACAACAAAATCTTTTCCAGATAGTGTCTTCATTAAGCTCTGCAAGGACATGGAAGACACACCTGCCTCTGACTTCTCTCCCATTGTGCACTAAACGAGGCTTTATCAGCACAGTGTGGGTTTGTTTTTGGAGCCCTGGGTGACTCTGGGGCAGGTTAAGGACCAGACCGAGGGTGCTGGGGCAGCGCTTACCCATGGCAAACTCCACGAGGCTCTCGTTGTCCTCCGTAAGCATATCGAGGAACAGGTCCAGCACCTGGAGCTGCCGGAGATACTCGTAGTTGCTGGGGTCGTAGGCGAAGTTGGCCAGGTTCGCCAGCACCTGCTCCTTGGCCTCTGCAGGGGAAAAGGGTCGGTGCGTGAGGAAGCGGTCGGCGCGGAGGGGGCGAGCGAGCAGCAGCGTTTGTTACCTGTGCTGTCCGTCACCTGGAACTCGGTGACGAGCGCCTGCAGGTACTCCAGCCGACCCAGTTCCATCGGGGCACACCGCACGGGCTGCCCGTTGCACCGGACTGGGTGCTCCGAGGAATGGAGACGAC